TAAAACCAGCATTCCTTCCTCACTCCTGCACACAAGCGTGCAAGCGCATCGGGCGAACGCGGTGTCAACAGGCACCAGGGATATCAGAAAAATGAGCCGGTCGCCCGTCCAGGCCTCAAGATCCCCTTTCTGCTGCTGAAGCAAGCGATGATTGTTTGCTTTGCCGGGGAAACGTACGGAACAAGGTGCATGGCGCGAAGCGCCCATACAGCGTTGTATACATAGAATACAGTATATAGTATATAGCATGTTGTATATACATGTATATATAGATATATGTTATAAACGTATGTGTTTGTATGTGTATGCGCGTCGCCCGCTGGACCCTCGCATTCTGAGATCAGAAGAGTGATGCTCCAACGTGGTTCGACCGGGGACGTTACGCAACTCACTTCACGTATTTGACACAGAATGTTTGCGTTGGCCAACGCTGGTGTGGAGATTGAGCCCTGGACTTTGTACCTTAATACGCTAGCAAGTAGACCAGCGGGTCTTCAGCCTTCAGCTCACTTGCCACTGCGCGCGGGTCGTGGGCGCTTGGCCTTTGAGAGATTTGGGTATAGTGGGAGACCTCTTGGGACCCCACTTGTGGTTTCTTGGAGGTTTTCTGTGGACTTTTGGTGGCCTCTTGGGGGCCTCCTGGGGTCTCCTGGAGGATCTACTGGCGGTCTCGGAAGCCGTCTCGGGGGGAACAGCTCGACATGTCAGCTCGAGTTCTTCTTCTGGGTCCTCGCTTGAGGCCGTCTTGGCGCCTCTTGGGCTCTCGTGGGAGCTCGGATGCCGTCCTAGGGCGATCGAAGAGACCTCTTTTGGCCGTCTTGGATTCTAACAAACAGGAGAGCAGAGTGTATGAACGAATAAAACTTCTTACGGACTTGTCAGATGATTTCAGACTATTGTGTCAGTCCCGCGGGCGTCCAAGACGGCCAAGGTGCACCCAGGAGAGCCCCACGATGGCTTGATGAGAAAAAGTGTGAGGGAATGTTGTAAGTTTTGATTCCGAACTACTCCCGAGGCTTTTGGAACAAAAAGCAATCGACGCACGCAGTTAGAGAGCACACACGAACGCCCAATAATCCCAGGGTTCCACGGTCAGGGGATTCTGCATGATGCCCACCGCAGAAAACTCGAAGGGACCAGTGGACTCCAGTCAGTGCCTCTTGCACGGTGGCTGAATACCAATGCCACTAAATCTGCTCCGTGTAAACACTACGTGGGGAACCATCGAATCGCATGTGTGTTGCAGTGATGTGGGCCTTCTTGGGGGGATCCTTGGGGAGCTCGGGGGCCACTTCAGAACCTCAGAGTCACCTTGGGCCTTCCTGGGGCATTTCGGAGGCAATCTGGAGGACATCCTAGGCCAGCCCGACCTACCGGCGCCATCTTTGTCGGTCGTCGTCGTCGCCGTCGCCGTCGTCGTCGTCGTCCGTCGTGGTCGTCGTCGTCGTCGTCGTCGTTGTCGTCGTCGTCGTCGTCGTCGTCGTCGTCGTCGTCGTCGTTGTCGTCCTCGTCCTCGTCCCTCGTCCCTCGTCCCTCGTCCCTCGTCTCTCGTCTCCCTCGTCTCCCTCGTCTCCCTCGTGGGTCGCCCTCGGTCCTCGTACCCCTCGTCTCCCTCGTCTCCCTCCTCCCCCATTGTCCCCCTCGTCTCCCTCGTCTCCCTCGTGGTGTCTGTGCTGGCGGGGCGGGCGGCGGCCCTTCGCCCGGAGCCGGCAGGCGCGGGCCCCTCTGCGCCTTCACGCACGGCGAGCCCCCGCTGGCCCGCGGCGAGGACCCGAGGCCGAGCGCGGCGAGGACGCCGGCGGCTCGCTGGTTGTCGCCGTCGTCGTCTTCGCCGCGGCCTGGGCCCTCCTCCTCCTTCTCCTCCTCCTCCTCCTCCTCCTCCTTGTCCTCGTCCTCGTCCTCCTCCTCCTCCTCGTCCTCCTCCTCCTCCTCCTCCTCGTCCTTCTCCTCCTCCTCCTCGTTCTCCTCTTCGTCTTCCTCCTCCTCCTCCGACGCCGCCGGCTCGTCGCCTCCGGCGTCGGCGGCATGGTCTGCGTCGTCGTCGCCCAGAGAGATCGAGCGGGGCGTCGAAACATGATTCAGACTTTGTCGCAAGATGTACTTTGTATCGCCTGTTGACAGGGGTGGTGGGGGGATGGGGGCTTGGCATTCTCCCTGGTTTGTCGCTGGTCGAGCGGGGGAGGGGGGTGTAGTAGTCATGAGCAGAGGTCAACCTTTCTCCAGAGGGGAAGAAGGGGTGCTGGAAACAAGAGCTCGCTAGACTACCTCAGCCCAGAGGGCTGGTGGGATTGCTGGGACCAAGGTGCCTTGGGTTTCATCCCCAATCGCACCTGGCGTGCGCAGTGGCCCGCCACCGAAGAAACCTTTGCGTTAAAGATTTATTTTGACTTTAACATGGGTGTTGGCTTCAACCTGCGGCTTTCGCATATTGCTCCATGATCAGGGCGAGCGCGTGTGCGGACGCGCTCTGGAGGAGCAGGAGGAGGAGGAGGAGGAGGAG